GGGGGGGGGGGGGGGGGGGGGGAGAAGGGGTACCGAAAACAGCTGCTACCTAAGCCCCTGGATCCGCCAATACACAGAATTGTTCCAGTGGTTACACATTAACAGGCAACTTGTTTCTTTCAGATCGACACTTTGTCTATTTGGCTTCATCGAATTCACAAATGCGCGACAATGGATGTTACTTTTTTGACGACGGTGAAGGCGGACAGGCAATGAAAATTCGCAATAAGCTCGGTAAATTCGATTGCACAAATATTCCGAAGTTGATGTCACGAATGGGTCAGTGCTTTACGCAATCGAAGGTAAGGGTTTTCTTTTCATGTCAGCGTCTCTTGTCGTGTTTTTGCGGAAAATCTCTCGAAATCAAAGTCCAATTCAAAAAGCAACTCCATAAGGGAAAGACACTCTTAATTAAGAGTTGTGGAAATTCTAAAGATGCAAAAAATGAATATCGTTGGCTGGGAGCTGTTGGAAGAGGACGGAGTCTGGAATCTTCTATGCGTTAACATATTGGTTATTGCTTTTGTTATGTGCTAACTGGAGTGATAGTACATGAAAAAAGCAGTAACCAGTAGCAGGGCCGCCGATGATTCCCCGCCGTGCATATGGCAGTTTTCTTGATTTATGTTGAGTAGGACCATGTATCAAACGTTGAGATTTTTGGAAGGCGTGGGAAGAGTGTTCCGTGAAAAAAGGTGTTTATTACATGATCTAGTTACAGTTGTTCTTTCAGGAATGTGATGTGACTTTGCGGCGTAGTAGGTACAACAAAACGTATGATATTGTTGGTGGTAAAAATTCACTCGGTGAGCCACATACATTTTCGGATGGAGTTGGAACAATGTCGGAAGATTTTGCCCAGGATATTGCACGCGATTTGGGTTTAGGCAATTGCGTTCCCAGTTGTTTTCAGGTAAACATTTTGATCTGTCCGCTGAGGATGATTAAGTCGTGCTTGCCTTAAATTTCAGGTACTAATTAATTTGATAATTTTGCTTTCCACTGAGTGACAAACGACCTGGAAAACTGCATTCGTTCAGTTCTGTTCCAGAAAAGAAGCTATTCCGTTTGAACCGTTAAACAGAAATTCCATAAAATCGGCATGTGAGCATAGACGAGACTAAGTCGGGAAGGAAACAAATGTAGTGGTAAGTAATAAATTGCGCCAGAGTTCAGTGAGGCGATTGAAGAACGGGCTAATGTAAAAATTAAATTGAGCAAGAGAATAATCGCCAAATAAGTGGAGGAGATAGGGGGGGGGGGGTTACAGAAGGCGGCTGCCTTCTTTTATCTCGAATGTTGGATTTGAGGGTATGGTTGTGCTGGGTTTCAGATACGGCATCGTGGCTTGAAAGGTGTGCTGAGCGTGGATCCAGCACTGCGACTACGGCGAATATGGGCAGAAAAGAATAAAGTGGAGGACAGGCCTGGTAAAACAGAAAAAATGAACGATTTAGACGTGCTATTTCGACCATCTCAGGTATTTTTTGTCTCATTTAGCTTGTTATATTCGGTTTTGCGTGTCAGAAGTGAATGCTTATTGTGATCA